CCCACCAGCCCAACACTCTCCCTCCAGCCCTGCACTCTCCCACCAGCCCTGTACTCTCCCACCAGCCCAACACTCTCCCACCAGCCCTGCACTCTCCCACCAGCCCTGCACTCTCCCACCAGCCCTGCACTCTCCCTCCAGCCCTGCACTCTCCCACCAGCCCTGCACTCTCCCACCAGCCCTGCACTCTCCCTCCAGCCCTGCACTCTCCCTCCAGCCCTGCACTCTCCCTCCAGCCCTGCACTCTCCCACCAGCCCTGCACTCTCCCACACCCGGGGGAGTGTGGTGGTCATGTCCACACACCCGGGGGAGTGAGGTGGTCATGTTATCTTGAGGTTACCTCTTGAGATGATTTCGGGGCTTTAGTGTCCCTGCGGCCCGGTCCTCGACCAGGCCTCCACCCCCAGGAAGCAGCCCGTGACAGCTGACTAACACCCAGGTACCTATTTTACTGCTAGGTAACAGGGGCATAGGGTGAAAGAAACTCTGCCCATTGTTTCTCGCCGGGGCCTGGGATCGAACCCGGGACCACAGGATCACAAGTCCAGTGTGCCTTCCGCTCGGCCGACCGCGGCTCCCCACCACTCACATGTCCTCACAATATTAGTATATTTTTTATCATAATATAAAGTTAGTATGAGGAAGCGGTCGTGAATACATATGGACGGTCCCCTTAACTGGCGGAGTATTTTCTGTGTATCTTCTGCGTATATGATACACAGTACAGGTCTGTGTATCTCCTGCGTATATCTGTGCATAGTTAGAGACCAGACGCTTGAGGCTAGTCTCATTAAACTTTCTTGGATAATGCTTGTTTTATGGAGTGTGTCATAAGGGGGTGAGGCCTAATGCCTCCCCTGAGAGGCATTTGGGGTCGGTCCTCGATCGATCGTCACTATGTCAGTGGATGTTAAATGTGGTTCTTCAAGTCTTGTTTGACAACTTGGTTGACTTGACTTGTTTGACAACTTGGGAATTAAATGTTGCAAACTCTGTGAGCAGGAACTACGGCACGATCTCCCGCACTACATCACTGAATGCCCAGTTATTAGACCTTTCAGACCAGTTGGCATGAGGTACCTGGAGCTTTGCAATTACTTTATTCACTCTCGTATTCTTGAAGATATCCTCACAGTATACCCAAAATTTGCCAGTGCAGGCTATTAAACACATGGCTCTGTATGACTAACTGCGAGATGGGGACTTGTATTACCACTGCTGCCTTATTCAATCTTGTGTTGAAGATATCCTCAAAATGCATCAGAAGTCTGCCAGTGCAGACCGCTTATCACATGCCTCAGTATGACTAACCATCCTGTGTGATGGGGATTTCTTAGCATCACCCAGTTAGCTTTTTTGACACACTGTACTCCACTTCATATAGTCTAGGGCAGCTGAACTAATGCAGATGTACCTAATATGTTAATAAAAAAAAATTATTTAATGGCTGTTAACACCCTATTGACTGGTGCCGACATACCAACTCACTCCTTTTATGATAAATGGCTGAGCAACAATGCCTACAATCTCATTAAACTCAACATTCCTTTTATTCCTTTTAAGTGCAATCTACCTGTCTCTGATATTCCTCTTTATCTGTACCCCACCATTCAAGTATCATACACACCTGTCACCAAGAAAGATAATGAGAATCTTGCTCTTCTCAAAGCTGTCACTCTTGAAACAATTGCCTCCTCCATCGAGAATTTAAGATCTCACGAGCACTGTGTCTACACCGACGGCTCAGTCCAATCCTCTACTGGACGGACTGCAGCGGCATGTAGGTTTTATAGAAATAATATTTGGACAAAGACTGTCAGGTTAAACAACTGGCTGACCTCCACACAAGCAAAACTAGCGGCATTACAACTAGCTACCAGTAAACTAAAAAACATTGGAGGAGGAATATTATTTTGTGATTCAAATTCTGCTCTTCAAGTAATCGAAAACTTCTTTTGGAAGATCGACAGCAAGAACCTCATACTACCAATTATAAATGACCTAATCGCTGCACAGAGTAAAGGATCTCGAATCTCCTTTGTATGGATACCTTCACACATAAATATAACCCATCATAACGAGACAGACATTGCAGCCAAATTAGCGTGCAACAAAGATGAAGTTGAATTAGATCTAGGTATCCCTATCTCTGCTGTCAAAACTGTATTGGTCCAAACACTCAGGTCTGATAGGAAAGAAATTACTGACTCCCAACGACCTGAAAACACTAGTATAAAAAGCTATGATTTGTTCAGATCTGAACCCTATATCTATTAGCAGCACAAAACTTCCACTAGACTGTGCGACACAGTGGTTGCCAGGATCAGGTTGGGTTACCGTTACCTGTGGCAGGTGGCTACAGGTGACGGATCTCCCAATCCTGAGCACTCCAGGTGCAAACTCTGTGAGCAGGAACTGCGGCATGATCTCCCACACTACATCACCGAATGCCCAGTTATTAGACCTTTCAGACCAGTTAGCATGAGGTACCTGGAGCTTTGCAATTACTTTATTCACTCTCGTGTTCTTGAAGATATCCTCACAGTGTACCCAAAATTTGCCAGTGCAGGCTACTGAACATATGGCCCTGTATGACTAACCATCCTGCGAGATGGGGACTTTTATTACCACTACTAACTTACTCACTCTTGTGTTGATGATATCCTCAAAATGCACCGAGAGTCTGTCAGTGCAGACCGCTTATCACATGCCTCTGTATGACTAACCATCCTGTGTGATAGGGATTTTTTTTAGCATCACGTAGCTAGCTTTTTGACACACTGTACTCCCCTTCATATAGTCCAGAGCAGCTACTAAGATTCATATGTACCTAATATATTAATAACAAAACAAATTGTCACGTTAAGCGTATGTTCAGACGTCAGATTAGTATTGTGGCGCAAGGTTCTGGTGTCAGAAGTGCATACAAAGCTGTTTTGACTTGCAGCCCTATTTTCTAATACATAAAAGACCTCCGCCCCTTGCATTATTGCCACGATTTCATTTGTGAAAAAAATTGCTTAATCAGTATACTCGCCACTTGATACGTTGTTGTTGTTTAAGATTCGCAACCTGGAACAAAAGTTCCAAGCAGCACGGGCTATGGTGAGCCCGTTCGCCACTTGATAATTCTCAATGATTCAGGCATATAGTCCTCAGAATACAGCGTCTGCGACCCACCAGACAAGACCCGCAGGGTGGCGACCAGCAGGTTACAGTGATGGAAATAGTGTGAGGGACGACTGGTTACAGTGATGGAGGGAGAGAAGATGGTGCAGGGGGGGGGGGGGGGGTATGGGAATGGTTCATGATGAGGAGGGTGAGAGTTCTGGGGGAGATGGTGAGGGTGTGTGTGTGGGTCCTCCGTCCCTGTGGGTCCTCCGTCCCTGTGGGTCCTCCGCCCCAGTGGGTCCTCCGCCCCTGTGGGACCTCTGCTCTTATGGGTCCTCCGCCCCTGTGGGACCTCTGCTCTTATGGGTCCTCCGCCCCTGTGGGTCCTCCGCCCCTGTGGGTCCTCCGCCCCTGTGGGACCTCCGCCCCTGTGGGTCCTCCGCCCCTGTGCATCCTCAGCCCCTGTGGGACCTCCGCCCCTGTGCGTCCTCCGCCCCTGTGGGACCCTCACTAAACCAATACCAATCAGAGACGTTAAACATTCCATTATGTATCTGCCAGTGTGGAGCAGGGGGGGGGTGTTCATGTGTCACACCTCAACACAGTGTGGAGCAGGGGGGGGGGGGGTGTTCATGTGTCACTCCTCAACACAGTGTGGAGCAGGGGGGGAGGGTCATGTGTCACACCTCAACACAGTGTGGAGCAGGGGGGGGGGGTGTTCATGTGTCACACCACAACACAGTGTGGAGCAGGGGGGGGTGTTCATGTGTCACACCACAACACAGTGTGGAGCAGGGGGGGGTGTTCATGTGTCACACCTCAACACAGTGTGGAGCAGGGGGGGGGGTGTTCATGTGTCACACCACAACACAGTGTGGAGCAGGGGGGGTGTTCATGTGTCACTCCACAACACAGTGTGGAGCAGGGGGAGGGGTGTTCATGTGTCACACCTCAACACAGTGTGGAGCAGGGGGGGTGTTCATGTGTCACACCTCAACACAGTGTGGAGCAGGGGGGGGTGTTCATGTGTCACACCTCAACACAGTGTGGAGCAGGGGGGGGTGTTCATGTGTCACTCCTCAACACAGTGTGGAGCAGGAGGGGGGTGTTCATGTGTCACTCCTCAACACAGTGTGGAGCAGGGGGGGAGTCATGTGTCACACCTCAACACAGTGTGGAGCAGGGGGGGGTGTTCATGTGTCACTCCTCAACACAGTGTGGAGCAGGAGGGGGGGGTGTCATCGGTGTTAATTTAAACAAGTATTATTCATAACATTTCCTTCATTAAATATACAGATAATACCTATAAATATGTTATTTTCCAACGTTATAAGGCTTAAATACGACACATGACCATTACTTAGGAAAATAAATTCAATTTGCAGTAAGAGCCATTTCTGTGTTAAGAATTGCCTATTTATTTCTTAAAAACCAAAACCTATACGTCCTGGGCGGCCTTATATCAATAGTTTTGCCTGAGCGTAAAAGCTTTTATCTCATAGTAATGTATATTTTCCGTGTGGAAACAAAACTTCACATTTAAACCCAAAAATTACTCTTATATACGACGTCATTTAGTCACACCATGGCTTACTTTCTTAAGAAAAACTATAATTTAATATTTTCCTGGAGACCGACACTCCGGAATAATTTATGAACAAAAATATAATTAATAACGATAAAGGAAGTGTATCATATACTGCAGCAGCAGCAAGCATCAGTCGGTGAGAAATATTATATATTGCAAATATTGAAATATATCCTTAACAACCAGAGTAACTTTGTCCTCATGAACTAAACTGTATAATACACAAGAAATAAGTTGTTATGCACAACTGTAATTGAATAATAAATATATACTAATATATCCAGTAACATAAGGCGCAAATACACTATCTTGAGCTACACATTAGACACCAACATATATAAATCACATCAGTGGTCATCATAAATGGTCATCACTCTTTATGGCGATGATCACAAGTGATCGTCAAAACTTGATGATTATACCTTTGGCCCTCACAAGCTAACATGTGCACAGATTAGCAAATTGGGACGTACCCAAGACGCTTTTCTTGAGCAAATTGTGAGGTTGTGTCCCAAGTTAAATATAGGTCGAGTCTGCAGAGGCTGATGAATCATGCCGACAGCAGCTGTAAGACAGGTGCGCCGACAGCAGCTGTAAGACAGGTGCGCCGACAGCAGCTGTAAGACAGGTGCGCCGACAGCAGCTGTAAGACAGGTGCGCCGACAGCAGCTGTAAGACAGGTGCGCCGACAGCAGCTGTAAGACAGGTGCGCCGACAGCAGCTGTAAGACAGGTGCACTTCACCGAGTCATCAGCTCCGTTGTGTCTTCCAAGACGACTAATGTCTGGGTGATGTAGGCGAGCCAGTGAGGGTTGGCAGTACTCCAAGACACCTTCACTCCGCGATCCTCCAGCAACTTGCAAGCAAAAGGCATCCACTTGCCCGGCTCATCAACGACTTCCTTCCAGTGGTGCAGCTGGTTGTTATCGTCGAGGGTGGTGATGAAGGCGAACCTCTCTTTCCGACACCAGGAGGCCTCGAACACCTTCTCCTGCTGCAGACTAAACATGCTACAATACTCAAAACTCATATCAAAGGTGAGCACCGCAGCTTGTCCAGAGGTGCTCACAGCCGCTACTTGAAACATGTTCAGTCCTCGGTCTCGTGGCAACACTTGTAATGAGTTCACGGGAAAAGGCACAGTCATAGTCCTGACGCGAGTGAACTTGTCGCCCACGGTCTCCACCACACACTGCTCCATGGCGTACAGGTAGATCTTGCCCTCCGAGCTTCCCAGCAGCACTTCTTTCTTCCTTTCCACACAACCAATGCTCAGGAAACAAGGTTTCTTTTTCTCCTTCATCCACGGTGGGAACTGCAATGTATCCTTCACATCAACTTTATTTTCACGGAACGCGAGGTCTATCTTGCCTGCCCCGGCTCCGCCCGCGTATATAATCCGAGGGACCCACTTCTGTAGAGCCCAAGCTGCTACTGGTACACCGCACGTCACCACACGCTGAGGCCTCAGAACCCTCTCCTCCTCGCTGAATAAACTGATTCTGATCTCATGTCCTGCTGAGGTGATGACCAGTTCGTGCAGCTGCTCGTCGCGGTGACCGGTTATCCAGGGCACCAAGTCCCACGCCAGGGATGACATGGGGATGTAACTGGTGGCCACAAGAGTGGGCAGGACGACCGCTGCCTCGTGCTGGACCTGGAGCAGCACCAGGTCGTCACACTGGTGGCTGCTGTCCATGTGGGAGGCCACCACCAGCATGCTCAGGGCGCTCCTCTGGTGGGGACTCATCGCCAGTAACTTGAAAGTCTCCTCTTTGGCCCTCATGAACAAGAATCGCCCGCGAGTTTCATATTTCAGCGCCATCTTTCTCCTGAAAGAGAGAGAGCAGATGTTGATGCAGCTTACTGATCTCTTACAGACACACAGTAAGGATCAGGAGAAAACAGCAAGTCAACATGGCTATATAATACATTTAAGGTATATGAGGACAACATTGGAGCTGGGATATGAGGAAGGCGGGTAGGAACAGTGCCTAACTATCGGGGACTGAACGCCGACCTGCACGAGCGAGGTCGTCACTATACCGACCAGTCTAAGTACTTGGACTTCATACAGGCATGGAAGCCTTATTTAAACGTGCCTAACACGTATTTATAAATTGTAGGTTGTCAGATAAAGGAAAAAAAGTCAATTTCAAGTAAACAAGGCGGGTCATGTTCTGCCTGAAGGTCCCACACTTCCATTAGTGCCACCTTTGTAAGTCCAGTTTGCACGTCTTTCTCCTATTAGTTACGCTCCTGTTTCCTTATAGTCAAGTTTCTTGACCAGAATGAAGCTCATTCTGGCCAAGAATCATCATGAAGGTTATAACATTTCAGAGCTGAAAATCCGTGAGTTTGCCTGTGCTAGAGAGCATCCATCAGGTGATGTGTACAGGCAGGGCTGCCCTCAGCTGGCCTAAACTAACGTGACTTCAACAGCATGTCTGTACAAGCCGCAGTACTCCAATTAGTGATTAACACACGCTGGCCCTGACAGTCCAGACACGTGACCACGGGACGCCAGGATACATACAATGTGTCACATCACACACATGTATTTTTAAATAATAAATTAAGGTGCATTATCGTTGGGGCCGGATTATCGGCCACGAAGAAAGGTCCCAGGAAGAAGGTCAAGCTCTTATGGGGGAAGAAGTTAAGATGGAGCAGAGGAAGCTTTTACCGAGCGCTCTCCCGCTAGCCGGGCTTTCTCAATGGTCTTCCGGTCACTCCCCCGACCCCTCCCCCCATACTCATATCCATTTACAATCTACAAACTTTCCAGAATATGAAATTTGTATTTTCTTAAGGATACTTTTGAACTCTATGTATGACTATATCTTGAATCTAACATGTGAATGTGATGGTGGGAATGTTGATGACTAATGCTTCTGGCTTGATGATGTTTTCTGCGATGAGTTTTGTATCATTTAGATGAGTTATATCCCATAGTGGCGGCCTCGTTAATGGTAGATACATTTATCAAAATATGTTTTCTGACTTTCGCGGCCAATAAAGCTGTATGTTCACATGAGTATAGTTTATCATGACAGTTTCCAACTCGCTGTCACATGATGTAACAACCAAACCTATTTTGATAACTTTACAACAACTTGGTCTCACTTATACTTTTTTATTATTTATTAAGAATTAGAGATGACTAAAGATTTTCTAATATAACAGAAAAAACAGACGGGAAGAGAGGGGGGGGAGGAGGATAGGGAAAGAGAGAGAAGAGGAGGGGAGAGAGACCCGGGTGCAGCCGGGTACTTCCTAGTATGTTAAATAGTTAAACCCAAAGACAATACTTGTGATTTAATTTTCATAAATAATTCCCATAAGGAGACTGAATTAGTTCGTTAACGTGTGCACATTGTACGAGAGTCAAGGCCCCAACACGTTAACTTATAATTCGAGGTTGTTATCTTCAGATGATTTCGGGGCTTTTTAGTGTCCCCGCGGCCCGGTCCTCGACCAGGCCTCCACCCCCAGGAAGCTGCCCGTGACAGCTGACTAACACCCAGGTACCTATTTTACTGCTAGGTAACAGGGGCATAGGGTGAAAGAAACTCTGCCCATTGTTTCTCGCCGGCGCCTGGGATCGAACCCAGGACCACAGGATCACAAGTCCAGCGTGCTGTCCGCTCGGCCGACCGGCCTCCCCGGTTGTTGCTGAGACTACTTGGCCAAGACCACCTTAATATGGCTGGAGTACGCTCCTCTATCCTTGGTCTCACAAGACTGTCTTCCAGCCCTCTCCTCCACCCCCCCGCGGGGCTCATCTCATCTTCACTCTCCTCCTTATGAAAGTCTAAAAGGATTTTACACTTAAGAAGTGCCACTGTTCCTGTCGGTGACCTCTTAGCGTATATTACTCGCCTTATCTTCCATCACTTTTTCACCTTTTCAAAGGAGCAAGTTCACCATTTATCACTGCCGAGCTCTTTGTTTTGTCGCTGCCATGGATCTTGATCTATATGATGCACACCACAGCACCTTGTGTCTTGTTGCTGAGCTGTGAGTGAGCCTTGTGTTGGCCAGGCTCCGTGCTGGCCCTCCCAGTCAAATATATAAATATTTACTGATCATAAATAATCCCTGCTGCTCTTGATGGGCAAAAACAGCGCCTAGGGAGTGAAGGGGCTCCTGAACCTAGCCAGTACGTCTCTCCTAGGCTGGGAGTCTCTCTAACAGGGGCTCCTGAACCTAGCCAGTACGTCTCTCCTAGGCTGGGAGTCTCTCTAACAGGGGCTCCTGAACCTAGCCAGTACGTCTCTCCTAGGCTGGGAGTCTCTCTAACAGGGGCTCCTGAACCTAGCCAGTACGTCTCTCCTAGGCTGGGAGTCTCTCTAACAGGGGCTCCTGAACCTAGCCAGTACGTCTCTCCTAGGCTGGGAGTCTCTCTAACAGGGGCTCCTGAACCTAGCCAGTACGTCTCTCCTAGGCTGGGAGTCTCTCTAACAGAGGAGAGAATAACAACAAAGTCTAAACAAATGTCACATCAAAGTGGAAACATAAGACACAACCCGGTCAGAGTTCCGCCTGGCCTCACACCTCGGGCTCTGGGGGTCTTGCTACAACCACTACTTCTCTCTATTTCTATTCGATTTGCTAAAAAAAAAATCAGGCAAAATATTATCAACATATACACCTTACAGGCAACTTGGTGTCAATCATTGACAGATCTTTGTGCTGTCATCAACCCATGTAAAATAGTGTCAAACTAATGTCAATAGATGAAGCCTTAAGACAGATGAATCACAAGGATGCTTGAAAATTATCTATAAATTGTTACCAAACAGAATGCACTACAGAAAGAATTTGTTAAAGGTAATTTAATAAACAGTTTCAAAAGTAGATGACAAGAAGCAGAGGGCTAAGTCACAGAGTGAACATAAAGTCACTTAGCGTGTACATAAAAGGAAGACAAAGTTGCACAAACACATTAGCGTGATGTATCGTGATGTTCAGTGGTCTACGGCGTGTGCTTGCGAGCACCCGCGGTGCAGGATCAAGTCCACCGCATGACTCAAACTGATTTTCTCAACACAAAGTTAATCTCAGACCCATACAACCCTCAGAGATTTAAAACGATAAGAAAAGTTTAGGCTGATGTAAAGGTGAAGAGATAGAGATGAAGAGACAGGGGGGGGGGGTTAAGAGATAGGACATCAACATAAACTCAACAAGGACTATACAAAATACTTAGTTACATTCGGGTTTGGGAACGGAGTTGGTAAAGTTTGGAACAACTTCTCAGGCACACAAGGGGATGGCAGGAGTGTTTCAAGCGAAACGTGGACACTTTTACTCCCATTTCTTACGTGGGTGTTACGGGCTCCAGTCACGTTATTGATATATTCTCAGCATTTGTATATAAGCTTGAGTTTGGGTCAATAGCAGCTGCCTCCCATGGGTCAATAGCAGCTACCTCTCATGGGCCAATAGCAGCTGCCTCCCATGGGTCAGTAGCAGCTGCCTCTCATGGGTCAGTAGCAGCTACCAACGAACACAGTAAGAACAATTAAAACATCACTATTTACTAGACGCTGACCAATAATAAGTGTCTCTCGGTGTCGACAGACGAGGCGCGGCGCGAGTCGGAGGAGGGCGCGGGGCGCGGCCGACGGTCCCGCCGCTACTGTGACGACGACGATGACGACGACCCCAAGAAAAAGGACGACGACGACGAGGAGTGAGTCCTTCATCCGGCCGGAGTGTGCTGGCAGGGGTGACTGTTGGGCTGGCAGGGTGACTGTTGGGCTGGCTGGGTGACTGTTGGGCTGGCAGGGTGACTGTTGGGCTGGCTGGGTGACCGGTGGGCTGGCAGGGTGACTGTTAGGCTGGCAGGGTGACTGTTGGGCCGGCAGGGGTGACTGTTGGGCTGTCAGGGGTGACTGTTGGGCTGGCAGGGTGACTGTTGGGCTGGCAGGGTGACTGTCGGGTTGGCAGGGGTGACTGTTGGGCTGGCAGGGTGACTGTTGGGCTGGCAGGGTGACTGTTAGGCTGGCAGGGGTGACTGTTGGGCCGGCAGGGGTGACTGTTGGCTGGCAGGGTGACTGTTGGGCTGGCAGGGGTGACTGTCGGGTTGGTAGGGGTGACTGTTGGGCTGGCAGGGTGACTGTTGGGCTGGCAGGGGTGACTGTTGGGCTGGCAGGGGTGACTGTTGGGTTGGCAGGGGTGACTGTTGGGCTGGCAGGGGTGACTGTTGGGCTGGCTGGGTGACTGTTGGGCTGGCAGGGGTGACTGTTGGGCTGGCAGGGGTGACTGTTGGGCTGGCAGGGTGACTGTTGGGCTGGCAGGGTGACTGTTGGGCTGGCAGGGGTGACTGTTGGGCTGGCAGGGGTGACTGTTGGGCTGGCAGGGGTGACTGTTGGGCTGGCAGGGTGACTGTTGGGCTGTGAAGGTCTCTGGTACCAGGGGACACTGAGAGTGGTCTCTGGTACCAGGGGATACTGAGAGTGGTCTCTGGTACCAGGGGACACTGAGAGTGGTCTCTGGTACCAGGGGACACTGAGAGTGGTCTCTGGTACCAGGGGACACTGAGAGTGGTCTCTGGTACCAGGGGACACTGAGAGTGGTCTCTGGTACCAGGGGACACTGAGAGTGGTCTCTGGTACCAGGGGACACTGAGAGTGGTCTCTGGTACCAGGGGACACTGAGAGTGGTCTCTGGTACCAGGGGACACTGAGAGTGGTCTCTGGTACCAGGGGACACTGAGAGTGGTCTCTGGTACCAGGGGACACTGAGAGTGGTCTCTGGTACCAGGGGACACTGAGAGTGGTCTCTGGTACCAGGGGACACTGAGAGTGGTCTCTGGTACCAGGGGACACTGAGAGTGGTCTCTGGTACCAGGGGACACTGAGAGTGGTCTCTGGTACCAGGGGACACTGAGAGAGGTCTCTGGTACCAGGGGACACTGAGAGAGGTCTCTGGTACCAGGGGACACTGAGAGTGGTCTCTGGTACCAGGGGACACTGAGAGTGGTCTCTGGTACCAGGGGACACTGAGAGAGGTCTCTGGTACCAGGGGACACTGAGAGAGGTCTCTGGTACCAGGGAACACTGAGAGAGGTCTCTGGTACCAGGGGACACTGAGAGAGGTCTCTGGTACCAGGGGACACTGAGAGAGGTCTCTGGTACCAGGGAACACTGAGAGAGGTCTCTGGTACCAGGGGACACTGAGAGAGGTCTCTGGTACCAGGGGACACTGAGAGAGGTCTCTGGTACCAGGGAACACTGAGAGAGGTCTCTGGTACCAGGGGACACTGAGAGAGGTCTCTGGTACCAGGGGACACTGAGAGAGGTCTCTGGTACCAGGGGACACTGAGAGAGGTCTCTGGTACCAGGGGACACTGAGAGAGGTCTCTGGTACCAGGGAACACTGAGAGAGGTCTCTGGTACCAGGGGACACTGAGAGAGGTCTCTGGTACCAGGGGACACTGAGAGTGGTCTCTGGTACCAGGGGACACTGAGAGTGGTCTCTGGTACCAGGGGACACTGAGAGTGGTCTCTGGTACCAGGGGACACTGAGAGTGGTCTCTGGTACCAGGGGACACTGAGAGTGGTCTCTGGTACCAGGGGACACTGAGAGTGGTCTCTGGTACCAGGGACACTGAGAGTGGTCTCTGGTACCAGGGGACACTGAGAGTGGTCTCTGGTACCAGGGGACACTGAGAGTGGTCTCTGGTACCAGGGGACACTGAGAGTGGTCTCTGGTACCAGGGGACACTGAGAGTGGTCTCTGGTACCAGGGGACACTGAGAGAGGTCTCTGGTACCAGGGGACACTGAGAGAGGTCTCTGGTACCAGGGGACACTGAGAGTGGTCTCTGGTACCAGGGGACACAGAGTGGTCTCTGGTACCAGGGGACACAGAGAGTGGTCTCTGGTACCAGGGGACACAGAGTGGTCTCTGGTACCAGGGAACACAGAGAGGTCTCTGGTACCAGGGGACACTGAGAGTGGTCTCTGGTACCAGGGGACACTGAGAGTGGTCTCTGGTACCAGGGGACACTGAGAGAGGTCTCTGGTACCAGCTCTGAGCTTTTGTTTTCATTAATATTATTAAATAAATTAGATGTTACCTCGTAAGTAATGTGTGAAATTAATCCTAGATAACAGAACCTGTAAGTGTGTGTGTCTCGTGTTGCTCCTTCCAACACTTTCCTGCTCCACCAAATTCACACATTCACTCACTCACTCACTCACTCACTCACTCACTCACTCACTCACTCACTCACTCACTCACTCACTCTCTCTCTCACTCACTCACTCACTCACTCACTCACTCACTCACTCTCTCTCTCTCTCTCTCTCTCTCTCTCTCTCTCTCTCTCTCTCTCTCTCTCAAACCTTTCATCTGGAATCTATAGCTCTTTAAAATCTCTGTTTTGCACTCTTTCTTCTCCTCACAACACGCTCCCCCACAACATGCTCCCCCGCAACACGCTCCCCCCACAACACGCTCCCCCCACAGCACGCTCCCCCCACAGCACGCTCCCCCCACAGCACGCTCCCCCACAACACGTTCCCCCCACAACACGCTCCCCCCCACAACACGCTCCCCCCACAACACGCTCCCCCCACAACACGCTCCCCCCACAGCACGCTCCCCCCACAGCACGCTCCCCCCACAGCACGCTCCCCCCACAACACGCTCCCCCCACAACACGCTCCCCCCACAACACGCTCCCCCCACAAACACGCTCCCCCCACAACACGCTCCCCCCACAGCACGCTCCCCCCACAGCACGCTCCCCCCACAACACGCTCCCCCCACAGCACAACACGCTCCCCCCACAGCACGCTCCCCCCACAGCACTCTCCCCCACAACACGCTCCCCCCACAACACGCTCCCCCCACAACACGCTCCCCCCACAACACGCTCCCCCCACAGCACGCTCCCCCACAACACGCTCCCCCACAGCACGCTCCCCCCACAGCACGCTCCCCCACAACACGTTCCCCCACAACACGCTCCCCCCACAGCACGCTCCCCCCACAACACGCTCCCCCCACAGCACGCTCCCCCCACAGCACGCTCCCCCCACAACACGCTCCCCCCACAACACGCTCCCCCACAACATGCTCCCATACTCACTGCTCCAAAGAAGATGGCACAAAAGATTTATTCTGTGCAAGGATGGTGGCCGTAAACCTTTCTTCTGATATGAGGGATGGTCCCTTAGCTACCACTACCACCAGCTGTTGTGATGGTCCCTTAGCTACCACTACCACCAGCTGTTGTGATGGTCCCTTAGCTACCACTACCACCAGCTGTTGTGGGGGTCCCTTAGCCCTCACCACTACCACCAGCTGTTGTGGGGGTCCCTTAGCTACCACTACCACCAGCTGTTGTGGGGGTCCCTTAGCCCTCACCACTACCACCAGCTGTTGTGATGGTCCCTTAGCTACCACTACCACCAGCTGTTGTGGGGGTCCCTTAGCTACCAGCTGTTGTGGGGGTCCCTTAGCTACCACTACCACCAGCTGTTGTGATGGTCCCTTAGCCCTCACCACTACCACCAGCTGTTGTGGGGGTCCCTTAGCCCTCACCACTACCACCAGCTGTTGTGGGGGTCCCTTAGCCCTCACCACTACCACCAGCTGTTGTGGGGGTCCCTTAGCCCTCACCACTACCACCAGCTGTTGTGGGGGTCCCTTAGCCCTCACCACTACCACCAGCTGTTGTGGGGTTCCCTTAGCCCTTACCACTACCACCAGCTGTTGTGGGGGTCCCTTAGCCCTTACCACTACCACCAGCTGTTGTGGGGGTCCCTTAGCCCTTACCACTACCACCAGCTGTTGTGGGGGTCCCTTAGCCCTTACCACTACCACCAGCTGTTGTGGGGGTCCCTTAGCCCTTACCACTACCACCAGCTGTTGTGGGGGTCCCTTAGCCCTTACCACAAACACCAGCTGTTGTGGGGGTCCCTTAGCCCTTACCACTACCACCAGCTGTTGTGGGGGTCCCTTAGCCCTTACCACTACCACCAGCTGTTGTGGGGGTCCCTTAGCCCTCACCACTACCACCAGCTGTTGTGGGGGTCCCTTAGCCCTCACCACTACCACCAGCTGTTGTGGGGGTCCCTTAGCCCTTACCACTACCACCAGCTGTTGTGGGGGTCCCTTAACCCTCCTCTTCCTTGCTCTCGAAAAAAAAGTGCTCATATCTCTCCCTCTCTCATGAACAGTGCTCTGCTTCTCCTTCCCCTCGCCCTCTTAACCTCATAAATCAACTCAGCTCTGCCCCCTCGCCCGATCAGGATGCTCTTAACCGGTCTCCACCCCGGCAGGGAGGTGCTGAACCCCTTGGTGTACCGGGAACCGGTGGCGGGGCGTCGGCCCCGGGGCGGAGGCATGATGCGTCGAGCCTACACTCCGGACCGCGAGGCCCTCGCGCGCTCGACGGCCGCGACTTCCCTCAGGTCGCGCTCCCACTCCCAGCCTCCAGAGCTCAGCCACAGCGAGGTGTCGAGGCGTCAGCGCAAGAAGAAGTAGACGTCGCTGGAGGTTCAGTCATACCAAAGTACAAGTGATTACACCTACGAGTAGATAACAGTCAGATGTATACAACTACGAGTAGATGGCAGTCATATGTATACACCTACGAGTAGATGGCAGTCATATGTATACAAATTAAGAGTAAAACTCATAAAAGTGCATTAGAGTATGAGGGCCTTACAGACACCAGAGATCAACCATCCGTGAACGCTGTGAAGAGGCCAGATGTAAACACTAAAGTTGGAAGATAACAGATAGTGTTGGTAAACCAAGTCAGATGATAACTTAAACTGTTGATAACACGCAAACACTGAACAAGATGTGTAAGTTCAACTCTCATGAAGGAAATGAGATCAAAGCCTAACTTATAGAAGTAGAATATGTTAATAGGGAAATAAGAAGCAGACGTGATAGGCAGATAATAGTAGATAGTAGAGCCAGACACACCAGTAGTGAGAGCTCTCACACCACCACGTGAGAGAGCTCTCAACACCAACAGTGAGAGAGCTCTCACAACACCACCAGTGAAAGAGCTCTCACAACACCAACAGTGAGAGAGCTCTCACAACACCAACAGTGAGAGAGCTCTCACAACACCACCAGTGAAAGAGCTCTCACTACACCAACAGTGAGAGAGCTCTCACAACACCAACAGTGAGAGAGCTCTCACAACACCAACAGTGAGAGAGCTCTCAACACCAACAGTGAGAGAGCTCTCACAACACCAACAGTGAGAGAGCTCTCACAACACCAACAGTGAGAGAGCTCTCACAACACCAACAGTGAGAGAGCTCTCACAACACCACCAGTGAGAGGGCTCTCACAACACCAACAGTGAGAGAGCTCTCACAACACCAACAGTGAGAGAGCTCTCACAACACCACCAGTGAAAGAGCTCTCACAACACCAACAGTGAGAGAGCTCTCACAACACCAACAGTGAGAGAGCTCTCACAACACCAACAGTGAGAGAGCTCTCACAACACCAACAGTGAGAGAGCTCTCAACACCAACAGTGAGAGAGCTCTCACAACACCAACAGTGAGAGAGCTCTCACAACACCAACAGTGAGAGAGCTCTCAAAACACCACCAGTGAGAGGGCTCTCACAACACCAACAGTGAGAGAGCTCTCACAACACCAACAGTGGGTCGGGGATGACACACATTACCTCACTAAATGAACATTATTCTTAGACCGGGAAACAGAAATCAGGAGAGACAGAAAGGTCAATACACACACACGTCTCTTGACTGTTAGGAAACATTAGACGCAATACCCGACAGGGGAGGCACTACTGTGGGTGAGGAGCACCTCAGCAACACGAGACACAGAGCCATAACTCAGCACTATTGTGTTCACAAATGACTACAGTGACTGTATACCAGTTAGTGGAGATTATAAGCGAGACGTAAGAGCTGAACCTCAACTTCTACGAGCTCAAACTCAACCACTACGATCTCAACCTGAACCACTACGAGGTCATCCTCAACCACTACGAGCTCAACCTCAACCACTAGGAGCTCAACCACTAGGAGGTCAACCAGGCGTACCAACACAAAACATCTCCCGAGTCAGGCGCCAAGTGAACAACATCAACTGTTAGTACAAAGTTACCCAACAAAAGGACTTCCTTCACAAATCCGAACACGGAGACTTTCAGGACCCTGTATACCACCTTTTTCAGAGCTGTTCTGGGAAATATGGGGCGCGCGTGGAGACCATATCTTGCAAGGCCCAGCGTTAAGAAACTTACGAGGTAAGGTTATCTCACGATACTGAAGAGCTTCATGTAAGGCTTCTTAGCCTTAGAGGAAGATAATCCTCACAAGTACACCTACGTGAGTACAACCAGGTGAACACATCATCATGTGATGTGGTGGAGGCTGACTCCATACACAGCTTCAAGTGTAGATATGATAGAGCCCAATAGACTCAGGAATCTGTACACCTGTTGATTGACGGTTGAGAGGCGAGACCAAAGAACCAGAGCTCAACCCCCGCAAACACAACTCGGTGAGTACAACTAGGCGAGTACACACAATGAATTAAGGTACCCGTCTGGGGTGACCCGGGAAGCAGGTCCACTCCCAGTCATATTCCACATTTTAGTACAGTTCCAAATAGTTCAATAGCTAGAATAACATATGAGCTAGGATAACATATGAGCTAGGATAACATATGAGCTAGGATAACATATGAGCTAGGATAACATATGAGCTAGGATAACATATGAGCTAGGATAACATATGAGCTAGGATAACATATGAGCTAGGATAATATATGAGCTAGGATAACATATAAACTAGGATAACACAAGATACAAGCCTGTAGCAAATACACAGCCTTTGCATCCCAGACAGTGGGAATTATTAAGTCATCCGCAGATGACATCCAACGACTTTATCATAAACACAAAATCAAATTATGAACTAAACCCCGTCAGCAAGAAGAAGCAGGAGACGAGAGAGCCGTCCATCAGTGGTGCTGTCGTGTCAGCTCTCTGTCAGCCCAGGTACACACAGTCTCACTCTTGCCAGCGATCAAGGCTTCCAAGATGCTGCCACTCTGCAAGGCCAATTGGAAGCAAAAAATATAATAATATAACCTTCCAAAAATATAATATTTGGCATGTTATATTTAAATAACATGCCAAATATAGTCCTGGATTATAATATAATCCAGGAATCTTATGGTATTGTGTCAATGGTGGTGTTTGTTCTGCTTTAAACAGCAACAGTGCTACACAGGGAGCCGGTCGGCCGAGCGGACAGCACGCTGGACTTGTGATCCTGTGGTCCTGGGTTCGATCCCAGGCGCCAGCGAGAAACAATGGGCAGAGTTTCTTTCACCCTATGCCCCTGTTACCTAGCAGTAAATAGGTACCTGGGTGTTAGTCAGCTGTCACGGGCTGCTTCCTGGGGGTGGAGGTCTGGTCGAGGACCGGGCCGCGGGGACACTAAAGCCCCGAAATCATCTCAAGATAACCTCAAGAAGATAACCTCCTAGCTAATGCTACGGGCTCTGTGTAGAAGAAACTGATCCAAGATCAATATAGGATACACGCTAACGCGAGGAGATGAGCTTCCGAGCAGCTCATGAGCTTCCAAAATACATAAAGCCAAGCCGTGCACTTGTCTTAAGACACTGCGTCGTCTGCACTCCAGGAAAGCACTCAGCAGTAAAAGGAACCAGGTAACAAGGCCATTAGACTTAAACTTTCTGAGAAATATTACCTGAAACTAATTTCAGCACAACAGAAGGAGTTTGGACAGCAGAACCCTGGAAATATTAACGTGTTTATGACGTATTAGAACGTTGTTACAACTTGCTATATTGGTTTTTATAACTGGTTAGGTGGTGGTAAAACTTGTTCGAACGTTGAACCAACGTCGTAGTTTTGGTGTGTGTTTGGACATCAGAAACTAGTCCTTGACCTGCAAGTCGAGTGTGGATCAGTGTGCAGGTTTACACACTGTGCCAACACTGACACGTCTCCTCACACACACTGAGATGGTTAGAGAAGGAAAACATTATCAAACTATGACTATTTTCTAGCCAAATATTCCCCAGTAGTTTCTCCATGAAGCGACTATCTTCAATCCTTAACTACAACAACAACTGCTGTTCTTATATCCAGAAACAAGAGGTATACAAGGCGTGCCCCGAGCCATAATATAGGCGTGGTAGTTGATACTAAACTTTCTCCAGATATAAGTTATAAAAAGAAGCTGAAAGCTTCAGAGAAAAGTTATAAGCTGCAAAAAAATCTATAAAATATAAAATAGAGAAGCCTTAAATTCAAAGTAAAAAGAAGAGTATCCCAAAAAAGGTTTACAGGACATTTGGCCAAGAAGCAGATAATTGATGAGTAATGATCATAAAAGTGGAATATGGACAAACAGCTGGTTTAAAAGAAACTATTTTGTAAACAGAGATCAAGGAACAACCAACGGGATAATAAACACAACGGAAAATAGATTTCCCGGCATAATCATGTTAATACATAGCAGGAACGATGGACTCTGGTGAGTGTATAGTGAGGCCCCCCCTAGCCTGGCTAGGAGCCCCGTCGGCCTGTGCTCCTAGCCTGGCTAGGAGCACCGTCGGCCTGTGCTCCCAGCCTGGCTAGGAGCTCCGTCGGTCTGTGTTCCCAGCCTGGCTAGGAGCTCCGTCGGTCTGTGTTCCTAGCCTGGCTAGGAGCTCCGTCGGTCTGTGCTCCTAGCCTGGCTAGGAACCCCGTCGGCTTGTGCTCCTAGCCTGGCTAGGGGCCCCGTCGGCTTGTGCTCCTAACCTGGCTAGGAGCCCCGTCGGCCTGTGCTCCCAGCACGGGTTCTCAGCACTGTGCTGGTAACTATGCTCCCAGCTGTGCTCTGAGAAAGCTGCGCCTGTGCTCTGAGCACCTTGGCACACGCTCATCGCCTAATCCCTGTTCTTGGCATTACCGGAGTTCGTGACCCGAGTGCCAAGTTTGCCCCCCCCCCCTGCCGCTGGTGCCATCCTTAGTGGCTTCCTTCAGCACTGTTGGCTGGCCTCCAGGCCTCGTCACGCTCCCACGGGAGTAACACAACATTACAAATTCATAACAATTGTTGGTCTCTTCACAAGAGCCTATGTCCGGGTGCTGTCTTGGGAGACTGCTAGGATGCTGGTTCTCTCATCCTCAACAAACGAACACTTCGTTGACAACAGTTCCCACACCTGAGGCCCTTCCCTGTGCCCCCCCCCCCCCCCCCCAAGCTCTCCTTCGTTCCCCACCCCCCCCCCCTCTATCCCTCCCCCCCCCCTACCCCAGGCTCCCCTCCCAAACCCAAACTCTTGACCTCCCTGCCCCCCCCCCACCCAGGTTCCCCTTCATTCCCCAACCCCTGACCTACCTCCCTCCCCCACCACATTCCCCTCCCCTACTCCCTCATCTCATGCCCTAATTGACCCCCAACCCCAGACCCTCGTAGCTTCCCCATATCAAATTCTTCCAGAGCCCTCACACCCCAGATCTCCCTTCCTAGGCACACCTACCCCGGGCACTCCCTGTCCCTCTACTCCAATGGAACCAACAGAAAATGAGGATTGACAAAAGAGAGTCAGCTTGAAGGTTATGTACTTTATGTAGGATATTTTTGGATTGCCAGAAAGCCTTTGACACAGTACCACATAAGAGACCAGTTGTGCACTAGCTGGAGATGCAGGCAGACGTGAAAGGGAAGGTATTCCAATGGATAAGGGAGTACCTAAGCAACAGAAGACAGAGTTACTGTGAGGGGTGGAGGTCTCGGAGTGGCGAGACGTTACCAGTGGCGTCCCACAGTGATCAGTCCTTGGACCTATACTGTTTCTGATATATGTAAATGATCTCGCAGAGGGAATAGACTCGTTCTTCTCGATGTATGCTGATGATGCACAAATTATGAGGAGGATTACGATAGATGAAGATAGTATGAGGCTACAAGATTACCTAAACAAACTGAAGGAATGGTCTAACAAATGCTGCTAACGTTCAACCCAAGTCAATGTAAAGTAATGAAAGTAGGCGGAGAAAATAGAAGGCTAGAATGGGAGGTGAAGTCCTTCATGAGACGGACAGAGAAAAAGATCTAGGAGTTGATATCACGCCAAACCTGTCTCCTGAAGCCCACATAAAAAAAATAATATCAGCGGCGATTGCGAGGCTGGCTATCAAAACTGCCTTCAGGAACCTGTGTAAGGAATCATTCAGAAACTTGTATATCACATACGTAAGACCAATCCTGGGGTATGCGGCCCCAGCATGGAGCCCGTACCTTGTCAAGCACAAGACGAAGCTGGAAAAAGTTCAGAGGTATGCCACTAGACTAGTCCGAGAACTAAGAGGCACGAGTTACGAGGAAAGGCTGCGTGAACTGCACCTCGCGTCGCTGGAAGACACAAGAGCTCGAGGAAACATGACCACCACATATAAAATCCTAAGGGGAATTGACAGGGTAGGCAAGGAGGGATTATTCAACACTGGTGGTACACGAACAAGGGGACACAGGTGGAAGCTGAGTACCCAAATGAGCCACAGAGACATTAGAAAGAACTTTTTCAGTGTCAGAGTAGTTAGTAAATGGATTGCATTAGGAAGTAATGTGGTGGAGGCTGACTCCATACACAGTTTCAAGTGTAGATATGTTAGAGAGTTCGAGAAGCTCAGGAATCTGTACACCACTAGATTGACGGTTGAGAGGCGGGACCAAAGAGCGGAAGCTCAACCCCCGCAAGCATAACTAGGTGAGTACAGTTCTAAGTCAGCGATCCTCGTCACTTACTGCCTAATGATACAAATATGAAAAGAGGAAAATAGTTTTCATGAATGCACTAAAATGTATATATTATGATGTTTCAGTCATGATGCTAAGACAATGATGGACTATAATGTATAGTTTCTTTGATAACAAGAGAGCAGAGCGTGCACAACCGTTACCCCAGTAGGATGTCACCCAGCAGCGTACACTGGCTGAACTGCGCTCTATCTGTACACTTTCGGACTTAGCGTCCATAGCCTGACACATTAATGGGGAGGCCAGGTTGTCGGAGATGTGCGGATCATAATGTGTCTGAGTCGCTCACACACAACTACATCGCACTTTATTACAAAACCCTAAACAGTAAGCTTCTGCAATTAAGCTTCACAGCTTACATAAACTGTGGGAGAGGAACGACCTCCACTCCCAGAAGGCGGCCAGCGTCGGCCTCCACCCCCAGGAGGCGGCCAGCGTCGGCCTCCACCCCCAGGAGGCGGCCAGCGTCGGCCTCCACCCCCAGGAGGCGGCCAGCGTCGGCCTCCACCCCCAGGAGGCGGCCAGCGTCGGCCTCCACCCCCAGGAGGCGGCCAGCGTCGGCCTCCACCCCCAGGAGGCGGCCAGCGTCGGCCTCCACCCCCAGGAGGCGGCCAGCGTCGGCCTCCACCCCCAGGAGGCGGCCAGCGTCGGCCTCCACCCCCAGGAGGCGGCCAGCGTCGGCCTCCACCCCCAGGAGGCGGCCAGCGTCGGCCTCCACCCCCAGGAGGCGGCCAGCGTCGGCCTCCACCCCCAGGAGGCGGCCAGCGTCGGCCTCCACCCCCAGGAGGCGGCCAGCGTCGGCCTCCACCCCCAGGAGGCGGCCAGCGTCGGCCTCCACCCCAGGAGGCGGCCAGCGTCGGCCTCCACCCCCAGGAGGCGGCCAGCGTCGGCCTCCACCCCCAGGAGGCGGCCAGCGTCGGCCTCCACCCCCAGGAGGCGGCCAGCGTCGATCTCCACCCCCAGGAGGCGGCCAGCGTCGACCTCCACCCCCAGGAGGCGACCAGCGTCGGCCTCCACCCCCAGGAGACACCGACGGTCCAGCACATGCAGTAGACGGCTCCTCACTAGTGATCATACCTGGCAAATTTACCCGGAATGGCGCCGTTGAAAATTAGCTTTCTTGGCCTCTCAGAAAAATCTCACTCCCTGAAGCCATGTAGTTAATACTAACACCACCAGAGTGATGAGTGATAGACGAGGTGTGCGGATGGAAGCTGTATAGCCTGGTGTGTGTGTGTGTCGGTGACGCGTGTGTGTACCCAGGACACATTATTAGTCGCGTCCTCAGAATGGTTGATCTCGCCTCGTTCAAGAACACGCCCTTGTGTTCGTCTGACACCGTCCACCGCGGCTACTGGTCTATACTCCAGAACATTAGCCGACTCGTCTTAGTGAACACATTACCTCTTGTTGATGATCCCTGAAACACTGTTTCACGAGACGTTCCCCCACTGTATCAGAAGTTACTGTTTCACGAGACGTTCCCCCACTGTATCAGAAGTTACTGTTTCACGAGACGTTCCCTCACTGTATCAGAAGTTACTGTTTCACGAGACGTTCCCTCACTGTATCAGAAGTTACTGTTTCATGAGACGTTCCCTCACTGTATCAGAAGTTACTGTTTCACGAGACGTTCCCTCACTGTATCAGAAGTTACTGTTTCATGAGACGTTCCCTCACTGTATCAGAAGTTACTGTTTCACGAGACGTTCCCTCACTGTATCAGAAGTTACTGTTTCATGAGACGTTCCCTCACTGTATCAGAAGTTACTGTTTCACGAGACGTTCCCTCACTGTATCAGAAGTTACTGTTTCATGAGACGTTCCCTCACTGTATCAGAAGTTACTGTTTCACGAGACGTTCCCTCACTGTATCAGAAGTTACTGTTTCATGAGACGTTCCCTCACTGTATCAGAAGTTACTGTTTCACGAGACATTCCCTCACTGTATCAGAAGTTACTGTTTCACGAGACGTTCCCTCACTGTATCAGAAGTTACTGTTTCACGAGACATTCCCTCACTGTATCAGAAGTTACTGTTTCACGAGACGTTCCCTCACTGTATCAGAAGTTACTGTTTTATGAGACGTTCCCCTCACTGTATCAGAAGTTACTGTTTCAGGAGACGTTCCCTCACTGTATCAGAAGTTACTGTTTCACGAGACGTTCCCTCACTGTATCAGAAATTACTGTTTCATGAGACGTTCCCTCACTGTATCAGAAGTTACTGTTTCACGAGACGTTCCCTCACTGTATCAGAAGTTACTGTTTCACGAGACGTTCCCTCACTGTATCAGAAGTTACTGTTTCACGAGACGTTCCCTCACTGTATCAGAAGTTACTGTTTCATGAGACGTTCCCTCACTGTATCAGAAGTTACTGTTTCACGAGACGTTCCCTCACTGTATCAGAAGTTACTGTTTCACGAGACGTTCCCTCACTGTATCAGAAGTTACTGTTTCATGAGACGTTCCCTCACTGTATCAGAAGTTACTGTTTCATGCAACAAATATTTCACGGCGCTCAATATCGACACCAGTGTAGGCAAAAGTGTTCATGGCGAGTTTCACTACAAGAGCTAATGTGTTCTCCAGGTGACTCCGGCAGGTGTGGCGGCAGCAAGAACCTGACCACCATACCTTCCGTAGTGTTTCTATGGGGGTTACAGTAATATTTATTGTATCAAACACCACCACCTTCAGAAAACACATCCTGAAGCAGGATTTCAATGATTTGATAACTTAGTCTCGAGTAATTATGCATTAGCAAAGTAGGAACCGCACTTCAGGAATGTTCATGTTTGAGTAGAAACACATATTGCGGGCTAGGTGTCCTTATGTGACTTACAGTAGCATGCAAATTGTATCGTGATCATGTAGGATATTGTAGTGTAACTTTAATACAGATATTTCAATACACTGAAACACTATTTATTGTTATGAGAATATTTTAAAAAGTTTATATATCAGAGTTTCCTATTTGCATATTGATGCTATTATCTGTTGAAATTTATATCAACAATATGTCAGGTTTTACACAGTTTATTTACATGAATTATATATTATATATATATACATATATATATATTTAGATCAAAATTTTTACTTAGGCTGATATTTGGCCCTTTTCTTCCAGACAATTATTAATTATATTCAATCATTAATATCTTAGCAGCCAGAAGATTAATATTAAGTTGGTCTAATTTAGCTTAAAGAAGTTTAGTAATTATGTTGGTCTAATTTAGCCTCACGCTGTTTACTGTCAATATTTAAAACTTTCTTATTACAACAGAATCTTTCAAACTGTTACCACGAGAGAGCTCTTCATACTGTCAAGGTTCTTGGCTTTATAAAACTAAATTTACTTTTCATATGCAGCATTTGAACCAATTTGTAAATATAAACAATTTTAACGAAAAAGAATATTGGGTAAAAAGAAGTTTTCATAACCATTTCAGGACAAAATTATTGTATTCACTTTTTTGTAAAGTTAAGTTAATCTGGTGAACCAGTTTACTGAAACCTTCTGAAGTCCTTAGGTAGATAGAGTAGTATTTTTTGCACCGGTGTATATATATATATATATATATATATATATATATATATATATATATATATATATATATATATATATATATATATATATATATATATATAAACTAAAATAATGTTGATATACCCTGTGACATATGAAATTTAGTTGCCAAACTATAAGCATTTACACTTTAATATTACATCCTGTTATCCAAATAGGATTATTGTTACTTAAACACATGTCTATATACACATAACTTTCCAGAGGACCAACGCTATGTAAACAATGTTATCATATATGTTTGTTTTTTACCACTGTCAAGTGGTGGCACTCCCCTACACCTGTCATGCTGAGTGTGTAGTGGTGGCACTCCCCTACACCTGTCACGCTGAGTGTGTAGTGGTGGCACTCCCCTACACTTGTCATGCTGAGTGTGTAGTGGTGGCACTCCCCTACACCTGTCACGCTGAGTGTGTAGTGGTGGCACTCCCCTACACCTGTCATGCTGAGTGTGTAGTGGTGGCACTCCCCTACACCTGTCATGCTGAGTGTGTAGTGGTGGCACTCCCCTACACCTGTCATGCTGAGTGTGTAGTGGTGGCACTCCCCTACACCTGTCATGCTGAGTGTGTAGTGGTGGCACTCCCCTACACCTGTCATGCTGAGTGTGTAGTGGTGGCACTCCCCTACACCTGTCATGCTGAGTGTGTAGTGGTGGCACTCCCCTACACCTGTCATGCTGAGTGTGTAGTGGTGGCACTCCCCTACACCTGTCATGCTGAGTGTGTAGTGGTGGCACTCCCCTACACCTGTCATGCTGAGTGTGTAGTGGTGGCACTCCCCTACACCTGTCATGCTGAGTGTGTAGTGGTGGCACTCCCCTACACCTGTCACGCTGAGTGTGTAGTGGTGGCACTCCCCTACACCTGTCATGCTGAGTGTGTAGTGGTGGCACTCCCCTACACCTGTCACGCTGAGTGTGTAGTGGTGGCACTCCCCTACACCTGTCATGCTGAGTGTGTAGTGGTGGCACTCCCCTACACCTGTCATGCTGAGTGTGTAGTGGTGGCACTCCCCTACACCTGTCATGCTGAGTGTGTAGTGGTGGCACTCCCCTACACCTGTCATGCTGAGTGTGTAGTGGTGGCACTCCCCTACACCTGTCATGCTGAGTGTGTAGTGGTGGCACTCCCCTACACCTGTCATGCTGAGTGTGTAGTGGTGGCACTCCCCTACACCTGTCATGCTGAGTGTGTAGTGGTGGCACTCCACTACACCTGTCATGCTGAGTGTGTAGTGGTGGCACTCCCCTACACCTGTCATGCTGAGTGTGTAGTGGTGGCACTCCCCTACACCTGTCATGCTGAGTGTGTAGTGGTGGCACTCCCCTACACCTGTCATGCTGAGTGTGTAGTGGTGGCACTCCCCTACACCTGTCACGCTGAGTGTGTAGTGGTGGCACTCCCCTACACCTGTCATGCTGAGTGTGTAGTGGTGGCACTCCCCTACACCTGTCATGCTGAGTGTGTAGTGGTGGCACTCCCCTACACCTGTCACGCTGAGTGTGTAGTGGTGGCACTCCCCTACACCTGTCACGCTGAGTGTGTAGTGGTGGCACTCCCCTACACCTGTCACGCTGAGTGTGTAGTGGTGGCACTCCCCTACACCTGTCACGCTGAGTGTGTAGTGGTGGCACTCCCCTACACCTGTCATGCTGAGTGTGTAGTGGTGGCACTCCACTACACCTGCCGTGCTGAGTGTGTAGTGGTGGCACTCCCCTACACCTGTCATGCTGAGTGTGTAGTGGTGGCACTCCCCTACACCTGTCATGCTGAGTGTGTAGTGGTGGCACTCCACTACACCTGCCGTGCTGAGTGTGTAGTGGTGGCACTCCACTACACCTGTCATACTCGAGGCTGGCAGGAGGAGCTGCAGCCTTGCTTCCAGTGACACGTCTCAGGACCTTAAGGTTGAAGTATGATAAACACATCATTGTTACTGTGTATAGTGTGTCAATGTTAAAGTTATTATATGTACCTTCCGGTGACCAGCCGACGGCTTGGTGGGCCTCGGGGTGCTGTCAGGCCGCTGACAGCTAACAGTGACCGCCAGTGTGTGCTGTGAGGCCACTGACAGTGACCGCCAGTGTGTGCTGTGAGGCCACTGACAGCTAACAGTGACCGCCAGTGTGTGCTGTGAGGCCACTGACAGCTAACAGTGACCGCCAGTGTGTGCTGTGAGGCCACTGACAGCTAACAGTGACCGCCAGTGTGTGCTGTGAGGCCACTGACAGCTGACAGTGACCGCCAGTGTGTGCTGTGAGGCCACTGACAGCTGACAGTGACCGCCAGTGTGTGCTGTGAGGCCACTGACAGCTAACAGTGACCGCCAGTGTGTGCTGTGAGGCCACTGACAGCTAACAGTGACCGCCAGTGTGTGCTGTGAGGCCACTGACAGCTAACAGTGACCGCCAGTGTGTGCTGTGAGGCCACTGACAGCTAACAGTGACCGCCAGTGTGTGCTGTGAGGCCACTGACAGCT